CCTGGAATGGCACCAAAATGATCAGGATTAACTATCTCACATGTTTTGCTACGACCCATACAAGCAACACCGCCGCCCCAATTCTTGGTTTGAGTTGCAGATGGCATTTTTGCTTTTTTCGATTTTTTTAAATCAAGTCCTTGGCCAGCTAAAATGACATCCTTATCATCATGTTTGCATTGTGGACAATACCAATCATCTTCAGGTAAAGTTTTTAAAGGTGGTGTTAAGCACTTAAAGTGATAATAATATTGGCATTCATCACACACAACGGTATGTTCTTCATCATCTTTTTTGCCACAAACATTACAACCACATTCTTTACATTTTTTTCGTGCATTATTATTACATTCACTGCAAACATATTCTTCTTCAAACTCAGCAGGTTGTGTCACTATAGCCGGATCGACTTGGTTCGATTTCATATCATTATTTTCATCATTAAAACTTAAAGGAGCCTCTTGTAATGAAGTAGCGGGTAAATCTGGTTCGAGAAATTCTTCAGTTTCAATGATTATTTTTTTATACAGTTGGACAGTGGTTTGGTGTCTAATATCGTAATGGAAAAGTGTAAATCCATCTTCTAGTTGTTTGCCACCAAAAAAAAGCTTTTGAACTTCAGGAGGATACTTATTTTTAAACTCTTTTGCAATTAGAACTCTAAAGTCTTGGATGTTGTCTCTAAGATTACATTCAATTTGGACTTTCTCTACTCCTTCAGCCAATACGTTCACGAACATGTTTTAATCCTTTTCTAAACGTATAAATGAACTGCAAAATTTAAGAATTTATATGTTCGCGTAAAAGCGCGTTTGTGCCACCAAGCACGATACTTATTTTTTTAGCGAGTAATACGAATCCTAAAAAGGAAATAGCCAATCAAAAAAAATGCAAATTTTTTCTTATTAATTTTTTCCAAATTATTAAATTACAAAATATACTTTAATTACTATGCTAAAATCTATAAATGCTTTTAATCTAAAATTTACTTATAATAATTCATGATTTATCAAATATATATATTTAAAAAATG